CTTCTTTATGCCATCCTTCAGTCGCTGTTGTTGGCAATGGTGCTTCAGTGTCTTGCGTTTGAATTTCTAATCCGTTCGTCCGCATCTCAAGCTGACTATTCGAGACAGTCGCGGGTGTAGATGGAAGGAGACAGGGATGCCATCGAGATCTCGTGGCGCTACTTCGTCGGCGTCCTGTGGTCTCTCGAAGAGGTGAATGCTGGTTGTGATGGCCGTATCCTGATGTCGAGGAACCAGTCATGGTGTTATTCCACCTCTGGATCCGTCGGTCGAAGCGCAACAGCAGCCGTCGGGCGATGGAGCAGCTCTGGAAGTTCATTAAGAGAATCGAGCAGAGATGATCAAAGGATCGGACAGTTGGGATCGTGACAGCGGTGCTTGTCGATGAGAATCTGATTCTGACAAAGCCGTGTTTCACCCATCGCCATTGCACTAGATCGCGTAGCTCTTAAGCTGTTATTGTCGACTTGGATTGATTGAGGTCGTAATGACGTTTCTTGCTGTCGAAGAGCCATCCTGTTGCCTTGATGTCACACAGCGGTGACTATTCGTGGCAGAAGAATATACGTGAGTCTCCGCGAGTCTTGTTGCTGTCGTTAAGAGAAATGAGATCCACTTTAGTCACCGCGATTTCATACTCACCGTCTGTCTACTCGGCTTTCCCTATGGCACGCGCCAGGAGCGCCTTCGTTGTTGTGATCTCCGCTAGAAAAGCTACAGGGGTGCACAACGCAGGTAGGGTGACTAGCACCGTCCGTCCTGTTTCCCGTAGGCTGGACAGGAGCCTCTCTGTGCTCTTCCCATCCGTTGGGGTGATGTACTTCAAAGCCGATTCCCTGTTCGTCGAGAAGAGGTCTCCAAGAAGGTGTTCGTCACGAGAGGCATTCGTTGCCCAAGCCGCTACTGTTGCTGTACTGGATGTGAGAAGTTCCGTTGTCAAGTTTGGATAGCCGATTCCACCTTAAGAGACTCAAAGTCCTGCTTGAAAATCACTTACCTACGGCTTCTTCTTCTCTTTGTCTGTGCCACCCCAGACGAATCTCTTGGTTAGCTGCTGGATCGGGTCGAGTTGCTCCTTTGTCAGCCATGCGTATCGAGCGCAGAACAAGACCCTCGGTACGACTATAGCTCGCGCGATCTAAGCTCGTTGAATAACCGTGTAAGTTTTGTTTCGCGCCAGCACGAGTCTTGTCGTTAGAGCGTTTCTGCATGAGTTCCAGTTTGCTTAGGTGTGATCATCCATGCCCACCTGTACGCCGAGATACCTACAATGGTCTCCCTTGGCTAGACTGGGCTTCCGTTGATTCTCTCGCGTGGCTCTTGTTCCCACCGTGCCAAAGGGATGGCTATTGACTTCGTGCGATTCACTCGTAGACCCGAAACCAGGGCAAATCGTTCCAAAATCTTCAAAACTGCCGGTGTGTTCCTGTTGTCGTCGAGGTAC